CAGGAAGTGGAGGGCTCGGGGACCAGGGTGGTCGCAGCAGGTGGCCTTGGAGAGCGAGTTCTCCCTGTCCCTGGGGACCTCACCTGCCCCCCCCCCCGGGGCCCTGAGCTGGTGAGGCCAGCCCTCTGGGCCTCAGTTTATCCAGTTGCAACTGGGGTGGTGGCTTTGCAGAGTATGGGGAGGACACAGAGCTCCCGGCCCAGGCACTGCCCCCGGGGCACAGGACCAGGCCTTGGCCGGGCCAGCTGGGCTGAGGGCGCACCGGGCACCCGGGCACCGGACTCGGCCCCTGGGCAACCATCTCTCCTCCGAGCCCTGGCTCACACCGTGAGAGGGCAGGCCCTGCCGCCCAGGTGAGGGGACAGAGGGGCTGAGGAAGGGAAGCTGGGGAGGGGACACATGGAGGCCAGGTGACACCAGAGGGGCCTTCGCAGGAACACAGGTCCCCGGGCTGAGCACTTTCCCATGGTAAGAGATGGTTTTTGCTCCACAAGCTATGGCCTCCCCCAGCCCCTCAGCAGCCCATCCGCCCTTCTCGCACCCCCACATTTGTCGTCCCGAAACTAAAGAGAGGAGGCTCGTTTCCAACTCGGAAATCGGGCCTGCGAGTGGCTGGTGCGTGGAAGTGCGTGTGCGTGTGGGAGCCACTGGGCCCCTCCCCCATCTCTCAAGGACTCGGGGGCCCGCCCATCTGCCCTGGAACTGGTCACTGCGGGGGACTGGGCTGCAGACCGTGCGGTTCCCCAGCTGGGGGTGGGGGGCGGCCGCAGTCCAGACCCTCCTCTGTCCCCCTCAGGTCATCCAGGGCCTGGTCGTCGGGCGGATGAGCAACCACTTGTCGGAAACGGCGCTGCTCCGGGCCAGCGCGCTGGGCTTCAGTGTGGTGGGCCTGGCCATGGTGAGAGCACCCCCGCGGCTGGACACGCCCACCCAGGGCCGCCCTGACGGGACCTCAGGGAAGGGCCCTCCTGCCACAGTCCCGGGGCCCCCAGTCACTGTGGCCCCTGCCCTGTCCCGTGCCAGGCGCTGATGTCCAACATCTTCCACTACTGCCTCCTGTTGCCTGGCCTGGTCTTCAGCCTCTGCACCCTCAACGTGGTCACGGACAGCATACTGACCAAGGCGGTCGCAGCCTCGGACACGGGTGAGCGCAGCATCCGCAGCCAGGCCCCGTGAGGGGCGGCCTGCCGAGACCCTGGCCCTCCTCCCGAGGAACAGCCGTCCGGTTGGGGGCCGGGTCTGCCTGACCCCCCTGGGCACTGTAGCCTAGTCTTCGTGAGCGGGGTGTGTGGGGTGGGCTGCGAGAAGGCTCAGGTGAGAATCTGGCCACCAACCAGCCCAGCTGGGCCCTATAGCCCAGTCCAGGGCTGGACCTGGGGGCCGCGTCTGGCCCGGCGCTAAAGCCTGGGCTGGATCTCGCTAGGAAGGAGGAGGAAAAGATGGCCTTCCAGGTCGGCCCCAGCCGCGCCGAGGAACGGAGGCGTGAGTCTGAAAGGCTCCCACGGAAGCCGCTTGGGAAGAAAGCCCAGTGGGCGGGGCACGGGGCGGAGGGCCCCAGAGGGGCGGGCGTCCTGCCAGGCCAGAGCCCGAGTGGGTCTTCTCTTCCCTCCCAGAACGGCCCCCGGGAGTTCATCGATTGGTGCCTCCTGGGTGGGCAGACGGGTAAACGCACACAGCTACTTATGTCCAGGAAGCCCCAGACCTCCGGGGGGACACGGGAGTCCCTGGGCTGACAGTGTCCAGGTTCTGGTGCCCGCCCTCTCCGGGCCGGTGCAGGCCCCGAACAGGATCCTATGGAGGCCTCCTCAGCAGCAGGGTTAGAGAGCCCAGGGGCCCGGCCGACCCTCGGTCCACTCATCTATCTGTCGGGCAGGCGCTGATGGAGGTCAGGCGGCCCGATGGGAATGGGGGTGGCCAAGGAGCGTTAGGCCTCCTCTCTGAGCAGCCTCGGGAGCCTCCAGAGCCCTCAGACTGTGGCTCTGGGGCCCTAAGGAGGCCAGGCTGGGCCCAGAAGGCTTCCTGGAGGGGGCGGGCCAGCACTTTGGAGAGGCCTGGAGGAACTGGTCCGGAGGATGAGGGCGGGGCCTGGTCTCTTGGTTCCGAGGCCCCACCCTCCGCCCAGAAGGAGCTGGGAGCTGGTTCCCAGCGTTGAGCTGGTAGCCGGTTCCCAGCGTTGGCCTGGGAACCTCGACAACAGAGGGGGCGGTGAATTGCTCCCCGGTGTCCGTGGGCGAAGGGAGAGGCTGCTACTCTGTTTCCTGCAAGGCCCTGAGCTGGGGCGGGCCCCGCCAGGCGGCTGCCGCCTCACCCAGCCAGGCTGTCCAGCTCCGGGAGCGTGGGCTCCCCCCTGCAGGCCTGGGGCCGGCAGCCAGCACCAGGCACAGTGGGCAGAGGGGTGTGGAGACAGGGTCAGGGAGCTGGGTGTGCAGCCAGCCAGCTGGACCTAGGGCGTGGGGCCACAGGCAGGGGGGCCCCTCTTAAGACCCTGAAGACCTTCCCATCCCTGAGACGTGCATCCCCTCCAGTTCATAGGAGGTTGGGTGGGCCCGGGGAGACACTGGGGGCGTCACAGCCTGCTTTGCACCCCAGCCCTCACCCGGTGCCTCACCTGCTGCTGCCAAGCCCACCCGCCCCTGTGTCCGTCTGCCGGCTCCCCAGCGGCCTGGCCTGTGATGGTGCCCAGTCCCAGCCCTGCAGTGCCAGAGAACCTTCTGGGGCAGGGCGCCAGTGTCCAGTGGGGCCCCTTCATGGCTGAGTGGTCCACGGGGAGCGGTCCCGAAGGCCCTGGGGGGACACAGGAGGGCTGGGGAGCCGGGGGAGGCCTCTGCCACATCCTGGGAGTGGGCACGGTGATGTGAGGGACCCGCCCAGGCCTGACTCACACCCCCCGCTCCACAGGGGCCATGCTGGGCCTCTGCGCCACCGTGCAGCCGCTGACCCGCACCCTGGGGCCCATCGTGGGCGGCCTCCTGTACCGCAGCTTCGGCGTCTCCGTCTTTGGCCACATTCAGTTTGCCGTCAACTTCCTTGTCTTCCTGGTCCTCTGGAAGCAGCCTCTGCCCCACAAGACAGACAAAGTCTGGTGACCTTGGCTCCTGGGCACATACTGGCAATAAATTCCCAGTACCTCTTCCGGTCTCATTTCTACTGGGGGGCCGTCCGGGCCCTGCCTGCAGCTGGCTGGGGCCCGGGATGCGGGAGGGGCCCTTCCTGGGGGCGGGGCCTGCCACTGGGCCCCAGGGCTCCGGGGAGAGCAGAGTCACCCAAGTTTGTTCTAGTGAGGAGTGGGCCCTGCCCCCGCAGGCCATCAGCACGCTGGTGAGGTCCCCCGTGCTGCCTCCCAGGCTGCTCTGCTCAGGCCCCCGGGGACAGGATCCCCCTGCCCCCCACGCCCCGCCTCCTGCTCAGGTGGAGCCCACCACCCACAGGCCCTCAAAAGTTGTTCCTGTTCATGAAAGGAGATGTTTTCTAATTTTTAATTGATTTGATGAGCGAGGCACTGGTTTTGTTCTTCCACTTACTGATGCACACTCACTGGGTGCGTGCCGACCGGGCACTGAACCCCAGACCTTGGCGTGCTGAGACAATGTTCTAACCAACTGAGCCCCCGCCCAGGACCCAGACAGCCAGGCCGGAGAACTGGGGCACGCCATCAACCCCCAACACCCCTGCCTGGCTCTCTGGGCATGGGAGGCGGCAGCTGCTGTGGCCCGACTGGTGCGGACAGAACAACCTCGGCAGGGCCCAAGGGGCCCCCGAGATGGCGAAGGCCGCCCCTCCCCACAGGTGAGCGTTGCAGGAAACTATTAGAGCTCCGAGTCCTCAACTTCAGAAGCCCACGGTCCCATCTGGAGGGGCCTCCGAGGGCCAGACCTCCTGCTGGACCCCGGGGACGGGACTCTCGGCCCTGACCCTGGTCATCCGTCCGGTGATCAGGAGAGGTCTCCCAGGTGGGGCAGCATGGGGTCTACCCTGGGGCCAGGGGACTCCTCCCCATGGGCACAGGGGCTTTCTAACCGGCCCTTCCGGAAACAGTGCCTGGCTTGGGACAGTTCCTTCTCTGGACTCCGCTCCCGGCTCCCCCCCACCCCCAGTCAAGGGACAGCAGCCACGGCACGTCTGACCCTGGAGCCCAGCTCGAAGGCCTGTGGTGGCCGCCCCTCCCCAGGGGCAGGGCGAACATCCAGCTCTGGGGCCCAGTTTTGGTTCTTCACTGTCCTCTCCGCTGCCTCCCCTCCCAGCACCAGCCCAACATGAAGGCCCCTCCCCAGCCGGGATCCTGTCCTCTGTTCCACAGTCCCCCTTGGCCCGTTCCTCACCCATACAGCTTCCAGGTTGGGGGGCCCTTCCCCGAGCCCACCCTGCGGGGCAGCCCTGGACACGCACTGTCTCTGCCCACCCCACCCGGGGCAGCTGGGCAGGAGATGCCACCGTGTCAGACTCCTCAGACCTCTCCACCCCAATGTCACAGTCTGGGGCCACTCAGAGGCCTCAGCCTCCTGCCGCATCACTGGAAATGCCACAGGCCTCCCCTGACCTGCCCGGCACTGCCTGCCTTGCTGGCCCGACCAGCAAGTGGGAGCCTGGGAGTGGGACCACCCAGGCTGGATGCGGCCCAGCCTGGACGGGGGTCAGGTGGGGGCAGGCACCGGAGGGCTGAGCCGGTGTTGAGGGTGGTGTGTGGGTGGGAGCGGGCAGCTGGAGCTGGAGGGGAGGTGTGTGCTGACCTCCAGGGGGCCCTTTGTGAATGACGTCCCACCCGAGAGAGGGCACTGCCAGCAGCCCCGGGCCCACTCCCGCCCACTCACCCCGCGAGCGGGAGTGGGCCAGGCCAAGCGCCCCGTACGTCCTGCCTCTGGAGGGGCTGCTTGGTAAGAAGGTGCCGCCGGCCGCCCACTCATTCCAGCGCTGCCCTGCCCCTCGGACTGACCCCGTGCCCCCGTACACACCGGCCCTGGTCCCCGCCATTCCCAGGAACGTCACCACACCACGCGGGCGGGTAGAAAAAAGAGCAGGTCCAGTAGTTTATTCGGAATGGCAGATGCAAAAACAAAATATTAAGACATACAGTTTGACGACAAATAACCACCAAAATAAATACATAGATAATCCAATAATTTAACGCGCCCGCGCAGCGGGGGCAGGGTTCAGCGGCTCCGCAAGGGAAGGTCCCCTTCTGCGGGGCAGGGACGCAACCCCCGCCTCAGTCCTCCCGCCGCGGTCCGTGGGAGGAGGGGGTCCGGCCATTCCCGGCACGTCCTGGGCTCCTGTCAGCGGCTCGGACCCGGCCCGACTCGTCAGTGTGGGGCTCCTGTGGGCAGAGGAGGGGTCAGGGAGCTGTGCCCGGGCAGGGGCGGGCTGGAACCCCACTACGGTTCCCCTGGGGGCCCAGACACGGCAGGTGCCAGTGACAGCTCTTGACGCGTGCCCTCGAGACTCCGAGACTGCGTGGCGGCCGGTCCCCTTTCCAAAGTGCCCCCCTGCCCTCGAGGGGCGGGACCTCCCTCCCCACCGCCGTCTGCAGGCCGGGGATGGCACGGGGCGCGTGCGGGCGGCACTCACCGTGGCGGGCTCAGGGCGCACGGGCTGTCCGGGGCTCCGGGGCCGCGGCGGGCGCGGCGCGCTCCCGGCGGCTGCGGACGTCCTGCAGGGCGCGGCGGTTCTGGAAGTCGATGAGCGCCAGCGTGATGGCCGCGTTCCAGCAGCTCTCGCCCGCGCAGCGGAAGTCGATCTCCTTGCGGTCGGTGGTGACGATGGTGAAGTAGACGTACTTGCCCGTGCGCTCCACGCAGTCCACCTTGAGGATGGAGTGGAAGCGCAGCTCCTTGGGGCGCGCGCCGGGGCCGGCCGGGAACAGGCTCAGGCAGTCCGGCGTGAGCACGCCGCGCTTCTTCTTCCACAGCTGGAAGAGGCTGTCGCTGCGCTTCTCCAGCTCGCCCTCGCGCAGCACTTCGCCCGGCGTCTTCATGTCGGTGGAGCGCGGGACACCCAGTGCGCTCGGGCGGCGGCGAGGAGGGCAGTGCGTCACAGCGGCCCGGAGCCGGCTTTATAGGGACCCCGCCCCGCGCGCCCGGCCCCGCCCCGCCCGGGCGCGCCCCCTCGAGATCACGCCCCGGATCTGCCTCGGGGCCCAGTTCCCCTGCGCCCACCAGTCCCTGACCCCGCAGCCCCGTCACCTCAGCTGCCGGCTGCGCGGTCGCCCCCTTGTTTGTGTCTGCAACTCACCAGACGACCCTTCTGTGCTCCGGCATCCCGGGGCCCCAGACCTAGGGGAAGACACGCGGTCCCCACCCCGCCCAGGACGCCGCCCCCCCCCCCCCCCCCCGTGGAGGAACGTCCGGTCCTGCCCGGGGTGACTCACCGCCCGGGAGCCCCGGGAAGCGCCCGCAGCCGGGGCTGGCCCAGGGCGGGGAACTAGGGGTGCCCAGACCCGCACCCTCCAGGCGCCCTGACACGGTCTCCAGTCTGCCCTCCAGCACTCTTGGGGCAGAAGCGGACTGTGACCCCCTACTCGGGTTCCTCCCACGCCCTGGGGCCCACTTCCCGGGGAGAACTTCCGGTGTCCCCACCACAACAGGCCTTGCTGCCCACCCCCCCACCCCCCCGCAGGCCTGGCCCGCCCAGAAAGTGAGTGTTCTGACCCCCACGTTTTTTGTCTGCCGGTGCAGACAGGGACACTTTCTTAGACTGGTAACAACTGGAAAGTGCTGGAACAGCTCCGCGTGGTGCTCAGTAAATGTGAGGGGTGGAGGCCACTCGGGCCTCCCTCCCGGGGAGCCTCCAACTTGGTGTCCTGACCAACCGGGGAAGGCTCCACAGCGACGAGGCCCGCGGGTGCGGAGGCGGGCCCTGGCCCCCGAGGGTCAGCGGGGGCGGCTGAGTCATCCCTGCCAGCCCGGCACAGCCGTTTTTTTATTTACCCTCTTCCTTTAAAGGGTTTAACAGGAGCAGGAACTGATCACTGACTCCTCCTGGTTCCCAGGGGTGGGGGTGGAGGCCGCTAGGGGATTTTTGGGGTGCGCAGCCCTTCCAGGGCCTGCCTCCAACACCCACGGCAGCTGTGACCTACTGGAGCAGCGCAGAGTGGGGCCCCCACCCACCTCCATGTCGCAGGGTCCCTGCACGGTAAAAACGCAGGTCTGTGACAGCAAAATGTCAAACCAGGTGCCAGACTTCCTGGGTACAGGCTGGTGAGGCTGGTCCTGGGACCGGCCCTCTCCACCTGCCCTCGCTGTGTGGCCACGGGTCAGTGCCCTGATCTCTTGGAGGGTGGTCCAGACCCTGGCCCTGTACGGTCACTGTGAGAAATAAGGGGGCTCGCTTAGCTCCGAAAGGGGACCAGGGCCAGGCCCAGTGGTCCACCCCACCCCCGACCCCGGCAGTGTGGCCAGAGGACTGGTTGGGGGTTGGGAGAGCGGGACAGGACCTGTGAATACCCATGGTACCCAGGACTCTGACCTGGTGATGGGGAACACGGGACGAGCATGGGGGCCAGGGGTCAAGGTTCTGCCAAGAGAAGGGAGAGGGGGAGCAAGTTGGGGGGAGGGAACCCAGATTCCCACCTCGAGACAACCTGGACAGAGGTGGGGGAGGGGACCAGCCACAGGCTGGGTGAGGCTGCTGACACCCCACTCCTGGCACCTAGCCACTGAGGGGCCTGTGCTGGCCTGGGTGGTCGTGGACTGCTGGGCAGTGACCTGGGTACTCTGGGCAGGGAGACACCCAGAGGAGATAAGGGGTGCTGCCTGCCACTGCCCCTGGGGAGCCACCGTGAGCCCACCCCGGAGGTCCACTGCCTGCCTCCCCCCACTCAGGGGCCAGGCAGTGGACCTGGAGCTCCCAGCAGACACTGCTTAGGCACCTGCTGTCCTACTGTGCACCTGCAGGCCTGGGTGGTGCCGGAACTTGGAGGAGAGAGGATTCCAGTGGGTACATGGTGTGTGTTGGGGGGGCGGGGGCCAGAGACAGCTTAGGGGAGTCCATGGGGATGAAGGGGGCCCTGAGGGTCAGCAGGGGCGTGTGCAGGCCCCTGCCCAGCCTGGGCACAGACCCAGAGCCACGCACCGCCCCCCGGAAACAGGCCCACCCCACCCCACAGGTGTACATCCGAAAGCCCCGGGGAAAGGGGACTGGGGGAAAGGTCAGCAGTGCCAGAGCAGAGGCGGGGCTTAAAGTGGTTGGAGGCAGCGCCCTGAGGACGGAAGGCGAGTCCAGGCCAGGCGCACTCGCCCTGCCCTGCCCTGCCCGGTGCTGCTCTCTGCCCCTTGGCCTGGCCTCTCTAGGGTGGGTGGAGGGGACAGTGTCCTGGAGGTGGTGCTCTGACAGGTGGCATCAGCAGGAGCTTGGAGGACAGGTTGTTGTGTGGAGGGAGGGCGCAGGGACCCCAGGAAGAGGGCTGGTGGGAATCTGCCAGGCCCCAGGGCCGAGGGCCACTGCCCTGCTGGGAGGCTGGGGCGGAAGTGGCTGGTTCATCCCCCGCTTCGCCAGCCGCTCCGGCATCCCCGCTCCTGCCGTGGCCTGACCAGCACGAACCTGGAGTGGGGGTGGCCCGGTGTTCCCCACCCTAGAAACCCTCTGAGTCCCTCTGGGACACAGCTGACCCCTGTGCCCACTTCTCCCAAGCCAGGGACAGGGCAGTGAGCGGGCAACACTGCTGAGGACCTCTGAGGGGGGCCCTTCCTGGGGCCACCAGGATGGCTTCCCACCAGGGTCCCCACTCCACGGGGACCTGCAGCCCAGGGTCTGGGCCAGGCAGGTGGGGGAGGAAGAGCCACAGGTGTCACGTCCCCGTGGTTGCGGTGAGGACTTTCAGGGAATGAGCAGGTCCAAGAGGAAGTGACTGACTCACCCACGGTCACCCGGCCAGCCAGCAGGGGTTGAGTCCATTCCATGGCACCCCAAGGCCTGGGGCAGGAAATAGCCCCCCGACAAGTGGCTGAGCGGGCTCTAAATTGGGACCTTTGGTGGCTGCTTCTCAGAGCAGGGAGGGGGCTGAGCTGGGCTGTGGTTCCTGGGTGGTCCCAGGCAGCCGAAGTCGCGCCAAGTTTACTAATATTTACCGGAGGAGGACGTCTGGGGTGCGGGGTACTTATGGAGCGAAAGGGGGCTCCCCACTGCTTCCCCACCCCGCCCCGGCAGAGAGAGGCTGGTCCTCAAACCTCTGACCAGGAAGGTCTGCCACCCCGTTGAGCTGGGCGAGGGTGTCTGGCGGCCGGAAGGAGGGGCACCTCTCCGAAACTCCGAGTGAGGTCATCCCGCAGCAGAGAGGAGCAGAGCCCCGAGGACACACCACCCAGCCGGCCCACTGCTGGTGAGGGAGGTGTGTGTCAGGGCGGAGTGCCTAGGGCTCAATACCGCCCCTTCCGGAGCTGGGGGGGAAGCTCAGAACTCTCCAGCCTTGGAGACCCTCGCCCTCTGGCCTCCTCCAGGAAGCCCTCTCAGATTGCCAGCTCCCACCAACTGTAAACGATGGGCCCTGGGGTCCCTGAGCCCTGGGAGGGCAAGGGAGGAGGCCCAAGCTGCCCGGAGCCATAGCACCAGAGAGGCGGCCTGATGCCACCGTGACCTGGGCCTGAGAGAGCCCACTGGCCACAGCCTGTGACTTGGGCCTGCCCTTTTCTGAAAGCCGAAGCCTGGGAAAGTGAGAGGCCCAAGGGCAGGATGCAGGAGGCCTGTCCCCACCTGGTTTCCGGCTCTCACTGTCAGCCTGGCCACAGTCCCTCAGGTTGAGTCCCTCGAGGCTCCACGTGGCCTGTCCCCCCACCCCCACACCCTCAGCTGCATCTGAAGGGGCGGCCTGGCTTCACGAGGCCCTGGGGGGTCTAACGAGACAGGGACCCTGCTCACAGGCACTACCAGCCTCAGGGATGCAGCGAGTCTGGTTCTCCAGGGCCCTGCTCAGGAGGTGTCTTTGGAAAGGAGTGAACTCAGAAGTATCTAACTCGCTGCCTGACACACCCACTTCTCTGGTCGGAGCAATTGAAGTCGGTGGAGACCCTGTGCTCGTGGGTAACACCAGAAAACTGGGGAGGAAGGGTCTAGAGGAGGGAGACTGGAGCCGGACGTCCCCGAAACTGAGCGTACTGGCCGTACTGCCAGGGCCCAGCCCTTGAGGACAGGGGACCTCTCTGGAAGACTGGAGGAACGGTGGATGAAGGAATGACACGGAAGGAGATGTGACTAAGTTAGGGGGCCCTGAAGACGTCACGTGTTAGGAGAAAGACACCAAGCAGGAGCCACGGGACGCAGGGGCTGGAGTCACGAAGCCCGGCCCAGCAACGCCAGGAGACCCGGGGGCTGAAAGGGGCAGGCGGACCGTCCTGCCTCGAGGGAGCACAGCCCCGCCGGCACCTCAGTCCTCAGACCCGGAGGCTGCCAGTGGCTCTAGGAGCTGGGTTTTCAAGGGTAAGCAGCTCTGTGGGACACCACCTTCCTGGGCACACTCCAAGGACGTCTGGAAGAATGGGTGGAGATGCCACCCAGCCCAGAGGCACAGCTGGAGGCTGGGCCCCCTGGTCCTGGAGTCCTCACTGGGAGTGGACGGTGGGGGACAGAAGGAGTGGCCTCATGGCCAGTTGGCTCCTGCTCAAAACACTGTCCCCGAGGGGGCCCTGCTTGGAAAGCTAGAGGCCTCGGCAATCCCTCTCCCCGCCACCCCCGCCCCACTCGTTCACCGCTTCCCCTGCCTGGGCACCGTGGCCATCTGCCAGTGTCTCGGGGATGTGGTGACCAATGACCACACACTTGCTGGCTTCCAGAGGCCAGCAGGCCCACAGGTCTCCGGGCTGCAGTCTGGCAGTGCCCCCAGCCATCTGTGGGATGCGCCGGGAGGACCCACTGGGCCTGGCCTGGGACCCTCTGCAAGGCCCCTGCCCCCAACCAGGACCTGGGCGGCTGTCTTGTTTCCTTCCTTTCTCCTCAGAGCTCCCCCAGCCCTGCCCTCCGAGAGGACCCCAAGAACCTGCCCTGGGGATGCACCTGAGTCCCCCCTCTCCTCCCACCTGCAGGGCTAGGAGAGGGGCCCAGGAGGGCAGGGCTTCTTCAGGTCAGAGGGGACGAAGCGGCTGGACCCCGTCTGCTCCCAGGTCTGGGGTCCTGACCCCAGGGAGGGCAGCTTGAGGAGCCCTGCTGGAATCTTCCAGCTGCTGACCCAGGTCCTCCCACACCCCACCCTCACAGTGGCCTGAGGCTGGAGGAAGACCCCAGGCTACCCTGGCCACTGTCTACCCACACCCCAAAGGTCTGTCCCAGCTGGTGGGCTCCAGGGAAGGCTGGTGAAGGCAGCCGGCCTGTCCCTGGGGACTCGAGAGGACAGCAGCTCTGGCCCAGCATGTGCTGGGAAGAAAGGCTGTGGCACTACCACCAGGCTCCCTGCCCCGCTCTTCCTGGGCCTGGAGTAGGTCCTGGGCCAAGTCCCCACCAGGCCGGGCTGGCACAGCTGGCTCCAGGCCAAGCCTCTGGTCGTCATGGAAAGTAACATCCGGCCACCGCCCACGGCACACTGAGTCAGCACCGCTGGGCTGGGCCAGTGACTGGTGCCATCTGGGGCATGTGGGGCTCTGCCCTCTCGGCCGCAAGGATGAAAGGGCGCTCCCAGGTCAGAGGCCAGTGGACCCCAGGCTTTCCTTGGAATGGCTGTGTGACCCAAGGGTCCCCGGCGGACAAGGTGCCCAAGAACCACACCAAATTCCGAGGAACCAAAGGCTCAACCAGGACCAGCCTGAGGAGTCCTGGAGCCCCTGCTGCCGGGCACCGCGTCTGCCAGGGTCTCTGGGGTTTGGGGTGTAAGCACCCTGCCCTCAACTGGGCTCCCTGAGGCCGAGGCGGGGAGGACGAGTCTGCCTCCAGAGGAAGGAAGGAAGCTGGGAAGTCGTTCTGATGGGAAGGGAACAAAGTCCAGGCCCAGCCAGGCCCCGAGGCCGGGTGGGCCAGCTGGCGGAGAGCCGAGGGCGGCCAGGCTGGGGCAGTGCTGCAGGAGACCACCGGGTGGGGGAGCACACTCCTGCCTGAGTGTGCTTCCCCGCGGGCTTCCTCTGTAGACCACCCCGCGGTGAAGGGGACAGACCGAGATGGCAACACCACCAAGACGGGCCTGGCTGAAGCTACTCAGGGCTCCACGCCCTCCGCAACCTGCCCCCAGGGGAAGGCCTTGGTGAGCCTGCTGGGCAGCTGGAGGGGGCGGGCAGGCCGGGCCAATCAACGCGGCAGACTGGCCACTGGGGCGGAGGAGCCACCTGCTGAGTCGTCTGCCCACGGCAGGTGTGGACAGAGGCTCCCTGCCAGGCTGCGGTGGCCATAACCCCCTGACTCAAGGGGAACACCAGAGTTGAAGCGAACCACCCCAATTCGGGCCTTCTGAGAAATCAGCTCCATTGAGGTGCAATTCAAACCTATGATCCACGTGTACCCACCTGAGGCAATTCCAGTGGACACACCTGTGTAACCACTTCCTTCTCCCAGACATCACCCGCCCCCGGCAGGTGCTGCGATGCTGAGTATCAGAAATCAGCCCCCACCTGCCTGCTGCAGGGTGCACGGCACTGCCGGCCCCCCGTCTCTACCTCCTGGCACCTGGTGGAAGCAGAGCCACCTGGGGAGGTCCTGCCTCGAGTCCTGCTGGCCTGGGGCAAAGCCGGGCCCCCCTCACAAGTCAGTGCGGTTGGGAGGGAGCTCAGAAAGGGTAGCTGGGCCTGGGGCCGGTCTTAGGGACAGCCAAGACCTAGGCCTGGAGGATCGGGCACTGAAACAGGCCCCACAACCTCAAACAGAATTCGGAGAGTCACCCTGAGAACTGAGGGAGGGCGAGGGCGGCAGAGGCCCAGGGAGTGGGGAGTGGCTCTGGACCGTCCCTGGACGCTCCAGCTCCAAAAGAAGCATCATGGTGTCTGGGCCCAGAGGTCAGTGGGGACAGGTGAAGCAGCTGTCAGATGGGCAAGGTGGGGTCCTGTGGTGGCTGCAGCTCCCAGGCAGAGCTGGCAGGAGCTGGGCCAGGTTGGTGCCCACCTGGAGCTGCGGCCGGTGCCACCCTCCCATGGCCTCGTGGCTGGGACTCTGGGCAAGCTCCCAGGAGCTCCGAGATGTCCTGGCACGAGTGGCGAGGCCCGAACCCACCTCTGGAGGCTCCGCAGTGTCCCTGGGCCCCAAGAGCCAGGAGGGGCCTGCCCCTGGACAGGCCTCAGGCTCCTGGCCACTGGAAGGCCACCTTCCCTTTCCCATGACCGCCCAAGAAAAGCAGATGTGTCCCAGACGGAGAACGAGCTTGCAACAGGCCCAGGTGCGGGCCAGGGCGGCCCCAGGGCAGCCCCTCAGGGCCTCGAGCCCGTGTACCCGCCCCACAGGGCCCACAGACCCAGAGAAAGGACTTCACCCCGGGGCCTCAAACTCATCCAGAGAAAGTGACGCCGGCTTGGAGACCCACCAGGCACACCAAACGCAGCCTGGGAAACAAGAGAAAACAGAAGTCCTGAATCTGCCGTCAGCGCAGGCTCCACGGCAACAGCCCAGGAGCGGAGGAACCACATCCACGAGCCCCGCCCGCCCCCCAGGACCCCCCCAGAGAATGCACAGGCACTGGGTCTGTGTTCCACAACTTTAATAGAATACTCTAACTATTCTGTACAAATTGAAAACGGAGTCTTCAGTTACAAATGTATCTTGAGTAAGGCTGAGCACTCTCCGGACCTGGTCACAGTGTGGACCCGGCATCCTGGCTGCCAGGGACCGCGGTCACACACTCAGAAACCCCCCACGCCAGCCAAGGCCAGGTGGCGCTGAGCCCAGGGCTTTAAGACAAGGTGGACGTGGGCTGACGACTGGGAGCTGCTGGCAGACACTCACACAGGACGGCTGACCCCACCCACCCCACCCCACCCCCCCGGCCGAGGGTCCCCACGGCAGGGGCAGAGGACGGGCTCCGCCAGGGCAGCGGGCGGCAGGAGGAAGTGAAATGCGTCCTTCCACAGGCCCACTCCCGGGAGGCCGCCACCCCTCCTCCCAGTCAGGTCGCCAGGGCTCTGGTCACGAATGTGGCTTCAGACACTCCAGGACAGGGGGCCGCTGGCACCCGAGTCCTCACAGCACAAAAGGACAAATAAATACGAGGACGACCACACAAGCCCTGCCTCTGCGCCGTGGGCGCCCCGGCCCCACCCCCACCCCGAGAAGAACAAGAACTGCAGAACGGACACACCAAGGAGAACGGAGCCCGCCCTCCAGTTCCTCCAAGGAACCAGACACAGAAGACAGGCGGCTGCAGACGAAGCGTGTGGTGTCTCCCAACGAGACAGGAGCAGGAGCTCCCAGACGTCTGCCCTGGGCTCAGGCGACCTCCTACCCCCACCCTGTGGTCTACGGGCCCCCCAAGCCAGGCCTGGGAAAGTCTACAAGCTGCACCCAAGGCCGAGGAGGGCGCGGGCGTTAAACCTCCTACTTCTGAAATGCATTTAAGCTGCCACTGCACAGGTTAAGCAAAACCATAAGGACGAAGGGAGAGGAAGCGTGAACACCATGCACGAGGAGACAGGTCCGGTGCGGGCGCCGCCGGGACAGGGCCTCACTGCTGCTTGCACTCGGAGGGCTGGCCGGGCTCCTTCTGCCGAGACAGGGACCGGACTTCAGAGGACCGCCCCGCCCGCCACGCGCCCCCGCCCACCAGGACGACCCAGAGGCCACGCTCTGTCAGTTCACTCAAACTGGAGTGAACTGGAACAGCTACTGCACATCCACTTCCCCGACAGCAGCACAACAGAAGCCAACTTCCCGGGAGTGACGTCGAGGCAGCTGCCACCACAGGAGGATCTCGGGCCAAGAGTGGCTCCTCCGGCCGCAGGGTCAACCGAGTCACAGGACACCAGGTTCCAGGACTGAGGGGCAGCCCGGAGCTCGGGGGGACCCACTGCGCCGCCTGTGAGTCATCGGCATGCCCCCCACCCCCGGGAGAGGACCAGCATCTGACCCTGCAGGGCTCCTGCTCAGCCCCCGACGCCCATAGGAGGGCCCCTTCCCCTGGGCCTGCTCGCCTGGCCACCAGGGGGTGCCCCCGCATCCAGGCACTGGGACCCCCAGAGACAAGCCCTGCCCCCTCCGGGAACCTGAGTGGAAACCCTATCCTCCCAGAAAAGGGACCGGGGGGCCCGACTCGAGAACCACTCCGATGTGTCCCCTCGTGTGTACCCACCACTGGCACTCAATGACCAGTGCACGCTGTGTGCGGGCCCCACGACAAGTCCCCCACCTCTGCCTGAACTAAGTACCAGCATCCCTCTGCACGCACCCTGCCGTGCCCTCGGAGTCGGAGAAGGACCCAAACCACGGGGCTGCAGAGAAACACGTGTGGGGTAACACAACCGCCCCTGCCCGGTGCCAGCTGGGCCTACAGCTCACTCTTTGAAACTCCACTGAGAGATGAAACCCCCCATGCAAGGGGCCACGGGGACAGAATGACAGTCCTGGAGCCCGGGGTGATGGACAGGACAAGCCTGCACCTACAGAGCGGCCCTGGGGTCTGCCAGCACTGGCCAGGGTCGATGATGGGCCACTGTGGGGCAGGGGCCAGGAAAGGGTCTGTAGGGTGACATGGGGGCCTGGGGCAGGTGGGCAGGAAAGGACGGACTTTCCATTCGATACCTGTATGGGAATGACATGTGTCACATAACATGGTGCTGAGTCCTGTCACACACAGCTGTGACCAGGAGGCATGCCTCCTTGTCTGCCACAAGATTGCGGAGGGACCAAGACCAGGAGGAGGGGCTGTGGGGAAACCAGTGGCTTTTGGCCTGTGGCAGGGGACAGCACCCAAGTGCAAGTGTAACACCCCGTCTCACAGCACGAATACTGGCAGCTTGGCCACCCAAATGGTGGTCATCAAGGAAGGGGGCTGGCGTTCCAAAGGCATAAACTGAAAGCAAAACCCTAACCACCCTGGGCCCGGCAGCCCAGCCTGAGCACACGCTCAGCCCTGTCCCAAGGCTGGCTGGACGGTTCACAATGCTCCAGAGTCACTGGCAGGCGGGGGAGTGGGCTTCGGGGACAGCCTGGCAGACACAGGGGGGCAGCCATTTAAAAATATGAGTAAAGGATTAGCCCTGACCCTAAACGCATCAAAGAGCACTTCACCTAAGATGTACCTTCAGCCCAGTCCTGTGCCCGCACCGGGGGCCAGGACGACAGTGCAGACAGACCCTCACAGATGCCGGTCTGAGTGCACGCCAGGACCAGGCTCCTTTCAGGCGAGTGAGGACACGTGAAGCCCCAGCGTCCACAGGCACAGCTGTGAGAAGTGGGCCTCCTTCTGGCCAACAAGGGGAGCTCCATGACCTGCCCGCGCTGGCCTCTCAGCATCTGCTCCCCCTCCCTGCCACTACGCTCCCCCTCCCAGGAGCAAGCGCTGACTGCCCTACACCACGGGGGCGGGGGCGGCAGTGGCCCCCAGGACCCACAGAGGGCACTGCCCTCGGGGCAGCAGAACCACAGCCAACCCATCGGCACACACGGATGCCCCCTCTGCCTGGCTGGCAGCCATGCGGCTGAGCAGCTCTGGCAGAGTCCAGTCGCCCCTTTACTGCCCAGGCGTCTGCACGACGCCTGAATCCTACAGGACTGAGCAACCGACAAACACGCCCAGAAAAGTCACATCTCCTACTGCCATCTCCAACTGCCCCCAGGGGTGGCGGGGCACAGGGGCCACCAGGGAGGGGAAAGGGCAGGAGGAAGCCCAGTCTGACTCCAGGACTGCCGTCCACTGGCTCATGGGCCCCCCACCAGCTGCCGTCCACTGGCTCATGGGCCCCCCCACCAGCTGCCGCCTCCCAGAACCCCTTCTGTGTCCTCTTCCTGGAGGGCAGTCCCATCATTAAGAAAAACGCCACACCAGTGACCCCTTGGCTGTGTGGCTGGCAAAGAACACCGGGCTCTGCCAGCAGGAGCCAAGGCAGCTTGTCGGTCAGCCACAGAGGCGCACGCGACAGCGTCCTGTCCTCTGCGCCCACAGTCCCAACGAGGCAGGGGTATCGAGACAGATCGACATTGGGAATTTAGGAATAAATGAAATTCCACCTTACCTAGAAACGCATGAATGATTAACAGATAAAAATTACACCTAAACGGGAAGAGGGAAAGGAGCTGTCAGCAGGGAGAGGACGAGGCCCGCAACCACGCAGGGCGCAGCAGCCCCTCTCTCCCAAGGGCCACAGGGCAGCGCCGCGTGCACTGAGCGCAGTGGCCCGTGCACGCCAGGCCGCGCCCCTCACCCGACTCCCCCCTCTCCTTTGCAGGGCAGACTCCACCAGGTCCCTCTACAGAGTGCGCATCAAGGGCCAGAGGTGCCACCCACAGAGGACCAGGTCCGGGTCCCCGACCGCACGCAGCTGACGGTTCTGGCACTTCGCGGCACCGCTTGGCTCACTCCTACCCATTCCCCACCAGCTCCCAACAAAGCCACTGGGAGGCCTCGAGAAGGGTGGTGACCGACAGTCCTCTACCTCCTACGGGTTGTTTGTGGCCACTTGGTGAGAATGCTCTCCCAGAAACCAGACGTGAGGAAAGAGGACAGACCCCAGGAGGAAGCAGGAACAGGAGTGAGGTGCCCGCTGCCACTGAGCTGCCGCCAGGCCAGACGGCGCCCCAAGTCCCAAGCAAGCAAAGCACACTGCCCTCAGCCCTGCAGCCTACCAGAGGCTGAGGCGGCCCCTGAGGGCAGAAAAGGCAATACACTACTCTGGGCTTGGGCTCGGAGTCCTCACCACCCAGTTCTGTTAACTAACGAACACCCCTAACACCCCCATCCCCAAGTGTGACCCACTCATGCTGGGCCACAGGTCTGCGTCACCCTGTGGCCCCTCACCAGCTGCCACTCAGAGGTGAGCACAGGTGGGCTTTCAATAGTTGCCCTGGGAGTGACAGGCCAACTCACAAAGGTGAGCATTTCTCTGAGCATATTTAACAAGCGTCGGCCCCCGTGCCCCACCCCTGCAGCAGGAACTCCTGCGTGAGCATGCGTATGCGGGCAGAGACACACACAGGGGAGCAGATGGAGCCCAGGACCAGGGCACTGCCCGCTGTACACAAAGGCAGGGAAATGCAGAGACAGCGCCGGTCAACTAGACACACGTGCTCCGAGACGCCAGGAACGTCGGCGTCCTGACAGCCTGTGAGAGCGGACCGGAGGCAGGCGCACGCCGAGCCTTCTGCTGGCGCCCCAGAGGGCCCCAGAGTTCAGCTAACCTAGACCAGAGGTAAAGCTCGGACTCACAGGTTAAGTTAATGGGGCCGCCCCCTTGTTTCTGTCAGGTTTTCCCTAAAAGTCCCTGGTCTAAGTTATAGACACCTAAAAAAGTTAAACTGTGAGTGTTCTCAGCCAAAGTGTGATGGTAAATTATAGTTACAATTCCATCAGAGTCTTTTCAAGTTCAAAAACGATAACAGCGTCACCCCAACCCCTTCTTTGCATCCTTTCCAAAAATAAACACGCAAAGTGCATGTGTATCAATGAACTGGTCACCTTCAAAGAATGAAAGAGCCCAGGTGAAGGTCATGGAATGAGGCTCCGCCCACGAGCAGGCCCGAGGAAGGGCTGGGAAGCCCTGCACTGTGTGCACTCGCACGCGGGCCTGCACCAGGGTTCTGTGACCGGTGGCCCTCTGAGAAACCACTCTTCCTGACTGGAGGGGACACGCGCACAGCCCACACACCTGTGGTCTGGGCGGCCCTGGAACCACTCACCTTGGGGTTCACCTCGGCATCTTCCTCATCCTCTCCCTCCTCGTCTCCTAGTTCCTGCGGCGGAAAGAGCAGACAGGACCTCGGTTCTCATGGACTCGCCCCAAGTCAGGGCGACAATGGGACTTGGAAGGAACCGACTGCCATCACGCACAGAGGACTAAGTCGCCTCTTTGGACACTCAGTTTTTCATGGGTATCTTTGGTTCGTAAATAACCCTGAAATCGACATACTGGTAAAATGTGCCTTCTGATAATTGAGTGATCGTTTCCCAAGATGCCCTTCAGCAGCTGAATGCAGGGTCAAACACAGCAGGACACTGTGGTGGCATCTGCCATCGTCCCAGTCTTCAGCAGGGCCCACGGCTCAGAAGCAGCCTCACACAAACACCGTAACGAGGTGTCGGGGTCTCACACGCTCCCCCCCGCCCCCCCCTGCCCCAGGGAAAGCTGAATGCAACCTTGGGGCAATGACGCTGCTGCACTGGAGCTGGTCTTACCTCCTCTTCTCCTTCTTCACCTTCTTCAAACTGAAAAAGAAACACGTCACTAGGTTTCGAGAGCACGGCAGCGGCCCGACCCAGACACAGGTCCCGTCCAGCCCCACTGAGCAGAGGGCAGCGGGCTCCGGGCCCAGTTCTCGGGCCGTCCGTCTGCCGGTGGGCAAGTCCGGGCACGGGGGCACCGAGAGCCAGGTGGGGCCAGCACAGCAGGATCGCTGGCCCCTGAGCCCTGCAGCATTAATAGGAGGCGGATCCCTGGAAACCAGTCAAAACAAGGACTGAGGGTGAAGAAAGGACACTGTCAGCCTGGGTGTGCCCGTGACCTGACGAGAAGTTGACTGGTCTCAGCAGATCAGTCACTGACGTGTCAGTTCGTACCTCAGGTGAGGGGAAATCTGCGTCAGGAACGTACGCAACCCTGGAGTCTAATCTTACATCAGAACGGCAGTGCGCGTGGGCCGCACTCCGGCACTGCAGTCAGCTGGCCTTGAATGAAGGTCTCCCCCGTCCAAAGACATCACTGGGGGGCTCTCACTCAAGCTCCAAACATCACACTAAGGTGAAAGCCACACCAACAAGGGAGAATCGAGCACCACCGGCCACACGACACACGGTGCGTGAGCACCCAGCAGGCTCTTTCTGAAGATGCTTCTCTTCAGAGGCCACCCAGTGGGACTCGGGTTGGTGCTGGTGCAGCTCATTTCCAGCGCTGGGCCCAGCCCACACTCCCTGCAGCCCCAGCCAGCACCTAAGATGGGAGGGAACTCGCTGCCTCTTCCTTCCAAGCAGCCCGAGCAGCCAGATGAGGAAAGGCCTTTCAGTGTCTCGCTGCCACAGGGCCCTCACGGCGTCAGGTCAGGTCAGAAGCAGCTAAAACGGGCTTAAGGGAGGGCTTTCTGAGGTTCTAGACACACCAGGTGACCGGACCTCCTCCAGGGAGCTCTGCAGGACCTGTCTCAAACGCACGTCCCTTCGGCGGAGCAGAACACCGTGCAGCCCAGGGGGGAGCAGGACGCCCAGGGAGCGTGGCAGACCAAGCCAGAGCTCCTCCATCCACTCCACCGCGTCACCAACACTTCCTAAAGCTTGGGTCTCAGCAACTCCTGGAGCTCTGCAGTGATCCAGCACGGGGCCAAGCCCCAGTGCCCTCCAGCTCGCTGGGGCACTTAACACAGTGGAGTGGGGGAGGAGGCCCGCACAGTGACCAGCAAGGGGGCAGGCCGGGTTCTCCTGGTGCCTGATGCCCAGCAGAGCCCTCGAGTAGGGAAACCTAGATGCATCCAGGAGACCCCAGAGGTCTGAAAGCAGGGGGAAAACACCCCTCTGAAACACCTCTCCAGTAATGTGCCAGAAAACAAACCCTTGTCCCCATCAACCAGGACCATCGAGCCTTGGTTCCAAAGGGACCTGCCTCAGGCGACAGCCGCAGAGCAGCCGGTGGGCTGGGCTCATCCCCTCCAGCGGTCCTTCTTCAAAGCCTGGGCCTGCAACCCTTTGGGGCCACTGTGCCAAAGGCTGACATGAACCAGCTCTACTGCTACGGAGGGCTTTGTGGCCAGACCTCTGGGAGTGGGGTCCCTCCTGCTGAGCAGTCGCCCAAAGCCTGAAGGCCTTTAGCAGGACGCAGCAAACCCCGGGGGTCTCAAGGAAGCCCTGAAGTGAGCCAGCAGGTGTACCTCGTACACAGGGACCACTCGGGATGCCTGCTGCCCCCGCTGTGACCCCTCCCTCCATGCCCCCGACACCAGAAACAGTGCGCCACGTGCCGCGGGGCTGGGAGCCTCCCCCGAGCACGTACATTGTCATCGTCTTCGACGGCCTCCCCTGTGAAGTACAGCACCGCCCGAGGGACTATCCGCTCACGGAAAAAGTGTCCGATCTCAAAGTCGGAGGCCAATGTGAACTCGGAGTCTTCATCCTGAGAGAGAGCGCCTCCACGTTAGCCCGTCCACAGGGGGAACATCACGCTGTCTCCCCCACACCCGGCCCTCACCACTACTGGGAGCTTGACTGAAGCCCCCAAGTCTAGCAGTGCCAGGTGACAGCAGTCACAAAGTCAAGCAGACTTAAAGGAACACCAGTGAGGGGGTGGGGAGGGCAGTGAACACAAACGCACCCCAGGGTTTTAGGCACTAGGAACAGGTGAAAAAAAAGCAAGTAACTACTCGGGAAATACAGCCTTAACAGCAACGTAACATAAGAGGCTTTTAGTAACGACACAAATCTTACCAGTGATTCTCCATCCCCAGAGGCTAGAAAAAAAGACAAAACATGTCCATGTTACATTGACAAGCAGAAACATTCAACCCACGCAGGAAGCTGATCTGACAGATGACACATTAACAGCCCATAGTGCCAGGCTGTCCCTGGAAATGGCCCAGGCTGGGTGCCCCCTGGTGGACACCCCGCGGCTCACAGCCCCGGCTGGAGAACACCGCCCTGGGCCCTCCAGAGCAGCACGGACACCAGTGCCCACAAGAGTAGGGCCCACAGGAGCAAGTGGACAGGGACATCGAGGGGCCCAGGGTGTGGCCACGGAGGACACCAGTGTCCTAAGGGAAGCTCTAACTTGCATCCTGCAAAACCACACTCGACGATCCAGTACACAAGGGGCGACCTCTGAAGCCTCAGAGAGGTCGCCACCAGGTTTCTGTCTGGAGAGGAGGAAGGGAGAAGAGGGCGCTGAGACGGCTCCACAACGCGGACTGTGCCTGTGGGCGAGTGTCCCCCATCTCAGCTCCGCATTCGACATGACAGCACGTGACAGTCAGTGGTGAACTGACCAGGGTGGCCAAGGACTTAGCTTGGCCACTTCACCACTTCACCAGGACTCAAGGGAATCTGCGCTCGGTGCGGCCCGGTGACAGTCAAAGCCCTGACTGTGGAAATGCTGGGTCGAGGCCCTGCTGTCCCCCAGGGCTGCCCACTGTGGGGACCCGAGAGCTGGGGGCAGAAGCACCAGGCAAGGGCCTCCAAGCCTTGGCACGTAAGCATCCCACAGGCTCTTCAAGACTCAGGTTTGGGGGCCCTGGCCTGGGGTCAGGGGTCAGCAGAGACCTCCTCACAGGACTTCAGCACCTTCTCTGTGGGTTTAAGGACAGAGAAGGAGCTGGATGAGCCACCTCACATCTCCTTCCCATCAGAAATCACTCCATCAGCTGCGATGAGCTTCTCTGCCGCTGGGTCACCACCTACTGCTGTCACCCTCTGTTCACTTTCTCATAACTCCTCCCAAGAAGCTGACCCCACTTAACTCTTTAGAAGGAGCCAGCCCGGTCAAGAGGCCCGGCTGGTGGGCATGTCCCCCTGCACACCGGGGAGCTGCAGGTCCACCCCCAGTCAGACAGGAGGGAACCCGTCCTGTCTGTCTGTCCCACACAGGTGTCTCTTTCTGCCACTCCGCCCCTGCCTCCTCCCTCTCAGGGCAATAAGCACATCCTTGGGTGACGGTTAAAAATAAATAAAAGCCCTACCAAGCTGGAAGTCACGGGCCACGAAGCCCGCCCACCTGGGCATGCGGCCCAGCAGAGCCCGCACGCTGTCGGCGCTGCGCAGCAGTCACAACCCGAGTTACATACGCTCGGAAACAATGACAGTGAACCGCAGTCCCCGCCTAAGTCCATCTGATTTTATCAAGGACTTACAATCCCATTCCAAGGACACTTCCAACAAATCAAAGTGTCTCTACGCCATGAATTCACAGGTACCCTTCCCAAAGGCCACCCAAGGTTCCAAAAGGAGTCTTCCCTGAAAAGGAACCAGACTGGTGGACTTAATGGCTCTTCTCACCCCCAAACCAGCACATGCTTCCATCTTCTAGGCTCCGAGACAGGTTGCAGAGAAAGCCACAACGACAGGAGACCCGAATGCAGAGTGAGGCGGAGCTTGGGGGGGAGCACTGGGCTCAGACCCGAAGGCAGAGCCACCCCACAGCCCCGCCCCGGGATGGAAGGCCTGCACGTGCTCATTCTTCGCCTCCCACTGGTCCTGCCCCTGGAACACAGGGCCCATGCTTGTTCCTCGAACCCTGCTGTAACAGGGCCAAGCGCCCCGCCTCCTCGTTCTCTCGGGGGAGCTCCACAACAAAACAAGCTTCCAAGCCATGTTTCTGCCCCGTCTCTCCAAGTGGAAACCCCACTACTGCTCACCACAACATGGTTCCAACCCCCCCAGGCCTACCAACCCTGCAGGAAAGTGATTGGGGCAGATGATTCCAAGCTCTGCAGTGCGACCAAAGTGCACCCAGGGACACGTGCCTGCGGGGGGGGGGGGGGGGGTGCTGTGACACAGGGGCTTCCAGGGAGGCCCGGGCAGGCGCTCAGCGCCTCCTCAGAATGGAGCCCAGGGCCACCTCCACTTCCCCTCCAGCTCTGAGAACCACGCAGGGCCCTCCTGTGCCCCCACCCCATGAGCACAGTGCCCCCAAGGTTCTCCGGTTCTTCTACACAAGCACAGGCTTGCCCGCTGTCTGACGGCAGAGTGTTTCTACGGGCTTCCGTGGTCACCATTCACTTTATGGAGAGTCTAGTGTGCCCCGAACCCGAAAACCAGCCTACGAGGCCACGCCAAATAGCATGCAACCTAAAAGAACACTGGCGCGCAGCGGGAGCAGGGACGGCCTGACGCGTACACGCTGCACTCTGTGCACTCCAGGGACACCTCCCACTCCACCCGCTGCCGGGTGCCAACTGAGATGCCGGCATCTCTCAGACAGAGATGCCACTCTGCCACTGGCAGGACCAACTTCGGCAGCATTTGAGGTGCCGTCCTCTGCCTGTGAACGGGATGGATGGTGGATGCAGGTGAGTTCGATGCACGCACTTGGCCTGCACTTCGCTCACGACCATCGGACTTGTGTCCAGCCTCTAATGGAGCGCAGCACCCTCCCAGCTCTTGGGCTGTCCTCCCAGCTCAGGACACACCCCGCCATCAGATGTGCGAGCTCAGTGCGGACAAGGCCCAGACGTGACGGCCCTGTCAGGGCCACGGGCTGGGGGCCGGGCACTGGGTGTGGTCCCGGGGGAGGTGCTCAGTGGGGCTGCCGCTGGCACTGCTTGGGGTGGGTGCTACCGCCACTGTCTTGGCTTGTGTGAAACACACACTGAACCCGACGGTCACGCTCCGCCTTTTTCCCTAAAGATGAAACCCTCTTTGGGTTTTTTCCGGTTAGTAAAAACATACTCACGTAGGTCTCTCTGTGAAAGCGGAGTGGTGGAGCAAGGGCTTTCAGAAAGCGGGGGACGCCTGTGTGTGTTGGCCCGCACACCCCCGCACTCACCTTTGAGTGGGCTGAAGAAGTTGAAAAAGGAGTCGTTGGGGACCTGCTTAGTGATGGTTCGGACGGTGCCGCGGCCCTTGTGCTTCTGCTTTTTCTTGATGGTTTTGACCGTGACGTTCTTTCCCTTCTTCCAGTCGATGGTGCACCTGCCCGGACAGGACAGCCATCACAGTCCGCCCACCAAGAGGAAGACCGACTACTGACGTGCACAGCAAGTGCACGGCGGCTCTACGCCGAACCTGGATGTGTGATAAAAGCCGTGCGCCAGCTGAGCACCCAGGCCCAGCACCGCTCTGAGCGGAGCCCAGCCCCCAGCACAGGCCTGCAGAGCGACACGGCCCCACTTCCCCACAACTGTGGGCAGACTCTGAAGTGTGTGTTCTGTCACCTGCCCCAGTCGAGGCACTTCAGAGCCTGTCACCTGCTGCCCCTGGACAACCCCCAGGGATCACCTGGCGCCAGCACACACACATCCAAATTTTCAAGGCAACCCAGTGAATGGGATGAGTTGCGGAAAAGAAGCGGTGACCCCCCCATACGAACAACCAGTGCAGAACACACAGGGTCCAGGGGTGCTGAGCAGTCCCGGGGGGCCGAGCATAGCACGCTTACACTCCTCCAACCACCTCGGCCCAGCACAACACCTGACAGCACCAGAAGGGAAAGCCAGGCCTTCTTCTCCCACCACGGCAGCTGGCCTCGGGCAGCGGCCCCGTCGAAACCAGTCTAGCCGTACGAGTGTGACTGAATGCAGCTAAGGCTGGGAATGCCCACACGGGGAGGGTCGTGAGGACAAGGACTTGCTGGTTCCAGTGAATAGAAATGACTGTTTCAATTCAAAAGAAACAATTTCCCAAACCACCTCAAACTAACCAAGAGGAATAAACTCCAACTACATTCACTCCTCGGTGACCTCAGACTGACGTCGCCAAGGTGCCCGTCCACGAGTAAAGGGCGTTTAAAGTGCCCACCAACCAGCCAAGTGGGCAGCGGACCCAAGTCCGGCCGGCACAGCCGCTCGCCCGCCACCCGCAGCCCTGTGCCCGCCGTCTGCCAGCACAGTGTTTCCACGGGCTTCTCGTGGTCACCATTCACTTTGTGGAGAGTCTAGTGTGCCCCAAACCCAAAAGCCAGAGGACCCCATCCCCAGTGACAACAGGGACGCCAGGCCGGACCCACACCCCTCCCACGTCACCAGGCGACATCTCCCAGCACCAGCTGTCACATCCCCGAACTGAAAGACGATTGGGTGTAAATCTTTGTCTACTGGGCTTTTCGGCAGATCACCAACTCTCTGCTTCATTCCTCACGTCCATCTTACTTGTAAAGCTCTAAAATCACCTCCCGGTTCCGTTCCAGAAAAGGCAAAACGGCACTTCTCACCCGTCACAGTCGACGATCTCAGGCCCTTCGAAGGAAAAGGGGTCGGCCTTGTCCGGCTCCGACTTCATCTTGTACGTCTTCGTCAGGACCGCGTTGGTGAAGTAGTCGTTGGGCCCGAAGTGGAACTCTAACACAAAGGACTGGAAACAAAATGCGGCGTCAGCACCGCCCAAAAGCGACAGGTGCTCAGTGACCGATTCTGATCAGCCCCACAGAACTCACTGGAAACCAGCCCCTCCCTAAACAGGACACTACGAGCAGAAGTCACGCTTAAAAGGGCAACAATGTGGCCATGTCACAAAAAATTCTTTGTGGCAAAAACGTAGTCACAAAGTTAAAGGACAAAGGACAGGCTGGGGTGGGGACAGCCTTTGGTCCGCAGACAGGTGGGGTCGTGTGTGTCCCCTCCAGGTGGGGTGGAGTGTCTGAAGGAGACACCGGGACAGCCAGCCTGCCCCCACCCCTCTGCCCTGCGGAGCATCGGCAGGTCCGTCGGGGAGAAGAGCAGGCACAGCCGGTGGCAGTGAGAAGCCCCTCCTTCCGTCGCAAAGCCCTGCACGACCTAGAGACGGGGACTGGGGAGCCCGACAAGAAAAACAGACATGTTCCAGGTGGCCGTCACAAATAAAACCCCGCGGCCGGCAGAAAAGATGCTCACGACTATCGAAAGAAACAAGATGCCCCCTTTTTGGACAAAACGCACCAACCACAGAATGTAGTGGTGACAAGTGTTCAGGAAACCTGGGGCACTCACACTGAAAAGAGCTTTTGGAAGGACAACTTGGTAATTATCTAGGTGAATGAATGAGTCAATAATAAAATGAAAAACACTACTCTGTGCCCCACTACCAGCCTGAAGAACTTGCCCATCTACGAGGAACCGAAGCACTGGTGAGCGTGAGCGCATACAGGCACACAACAACCTCACCCCCAGGTCACGGAGGACCAAAGACAATCTCGGCTAGTAAACCACAGCGAGTGTGCCAGGGCCACCTATGGGCTCAGACAGCCTGGGTTCCAATCCCCTCTGCCGGCAGTGCCGTGCGACTTGGTGAGTTACCCAATGCCGCCGTGCCCCCCACCCGTCATGTAAAAATAGCCAGCACCCCCCCGCCGACCTGGAGCAGAAGCCACGGGAGCAGCACTCAGCACACGAAGAGGGAGGGAAAACAGGGCTCTGCAAAGGGTGCTGACGGGAAAGGCCACGGAGGCTCCGGGGCACAGGCCCAGGCGGTCAGAGGCCCGAGGGCCCGCCCTGCCGGGTTCCACAACGGACAGCAGCAGGGCCCAGCGGGAGTGTGCACGGGAACCACGGTGCTGGCAGCCTGCTGCTCCCTCACCCCCACAGGCCCATTCTGAATGGGGAGAGGTGGTCACTTTTTCTCGCCCCCCCCATGCCCTGCCCCTCCTCCACACCAAGTGAACTTTCTTCCTGTTTCCCGACTTCTTCCTTCCCCGGGGCCTCTGTTTATGAAGAGTAACCCAAACACACTGGGGTGAAGTGAAGTGTTTGAGGGACCAATAAACACGGCCCCAAGATGAGGCCACGTCATCTGCACCCCCCCACTAGGAAGGACGTACGACCATGGCTCCCCTCTCCGCCCAGAAAGCGTACTCGGTGGCCACCGTCTTCGCCAATACTGATCCCGAGGAGATAAAGACGCGTCCCCACCCCCACGGCTCCTGTGGTCAAGGTGGACAACGGACGCGATTCTCTGTGCTCTGCTCTAAGCTTGAATCATTTCAGAGACCCTCTTTATTATTTTGCAATAAAAAGCACTACAAAACAACAAAACGCGAAGAAAGGAAGAAAAAGGGAAACGGACCCAAAACGGAAGCGGCAGCGAAACGAACCTGGGTGGGTGACCCGTGAGCAGGCAGTGTGGGGGAAAGGATCCACCCACCTCAGCAGATGAGGCCCCAGGGCCACGGGCGACCTGGGTGGGGGCAAGTAATGACCGCAAAGTCTCCACTTACTACTGGGAAGAGGGGACGAGAGGGGACACTGGGATGCCAGGGTGCTGCAGTAGGAGGAGGGCCCGCACCCCACCCTGCAAAGGGATGGCGACCTTGGTCCCCTCCCACAGTGAGGCGGAAGGGAAAGGGGTGGGATGCACACTGCCGTGTCCCCTGCCCCACCAGCAGTGAGGGCCACCTGCAGGACTAGGGGAGAGATCCCGCTCACACTGGCCCCCGCCCCAGGGCTGGTGCTCTGCGACAGGGCAGGGGAAAAGAGCCAGGCCAAGCCCCCACCAAGACCCCTCACTCACAACCCCCAGGGGCTTGTCTCCGAGATCTGAAACTGAGAGCCATCGGCCAGGCACCCGGTCATGTGTCACTGGAACTGCTCTGGCACTGGAATGGAACCCGTCAGCCACGGCAGGTTGACGGGTCACGAACAGTGCTCTGGTGATACCCCGGCTCAGCCAGGAGGGGTGCACCACCCCAACACGACACGCGGCCACAGGTGTCTTGGGAAAACGGGTTCTGTCACAAACCAAAGAGCAGGGGAGCAAGCACCTTTCTGTCCCCCACATCTGCAGGCACTTTTCCAAACACGCTCAGCAGGTCGTTCCATCAGTGCCTTGGGTCGCTGGTCAAGTACAACTCCTACCTACTGTCCTTTCACACAGACCTTACGTACCACGTCCTTGAAGATGTAGGGGATGCTAAGGAGGAGGATGGTACAGGGACAAACTGGCCAAGAAACTACCGTGTGCCACAGGGGACACGACGTGGGCCCAAGAATCCAACCCCACGTCCGACTCCTGCACCTGCTGCCAGGCAGCGAGTGGCTGAAGTCACCTGCCAGGCTGCCCTAACTCAGGGAACACCTGGCTCCAGTCACCTGGCATGCAAGCAGTGGGTCTGATGTCTTGCTCTGGCCCCAAGCCCTTGACACTCAGTGTCCTGACACCCCAACACTAGCCAGAGGATCAAACGATCAGTACTCACCATAGGCTGTCCAGGCTCTGAAAACTTCACTTGAATATCCTGCAGGTGTTTCAAGATTGGCTCATCATACTCCTAAACACAGAGAGAACAAAGGAACCTCCAGTGAGCTCTGAAAAACGATACACGTGTCTTTGGTGAGTCGCTGGCGCATCACTCCTGGATGCCGGACAATGGGCCCCAGTGCTTGTCAAGTACTGACCCCCAGGAAGCCACCCAAACCGTTCCCTGATGACCACTGGAGGGGACAGCAGAGAGGCACCACATCACTGGCAGCCATCAGAGCCAAGCCCCAAGCACAGCGCCTTTGAGGCCAGGACAAGAGCCCTGACTGCACCCAGGGCAAAGGTGCTGCCCGCAGCGAGCGGTCCTGAGCGTCTCCAAAGAGACAGAACCACGAGGCAGGCCTAGGTCCGTCACGGCGCCGGCAGCCACTGCCCCCACACCAGCCTGCAGCAAGGAGCACACGAAGCTGCCCCACGGTCACTGCCAATCCGAAGCACTTGCCAGGCATGGCTGAGACCTCCAGGCAGGCGCTAGAGCGCCCGACGACTCTGGGCTTTTCAGACGCCACCAACGCTGTCATTCTGGAATATCCCAGAGACAGAAAGAAAGGCAAGACTCAAGACCCAGAGACCACCCCCCAGAGCAGGGTTTCACCTGTGGAACAGTTACTCCTTTACCCCTGCCATCTGGGGGCTGAAAAGAAAGGCTTCTTCAGCTTCTACTAAGTTCTGAGAACTGAGTCTTATGCTATCAAGTTCCCAGTAATAAGAATAAAACAGCCCTGGCTAGTGCAGCTCAGTGGGTTGAGCACGGGCCTGCGAACAAAGGGATCACGGTTCGATTCCTAGTCACGCACGTGCATGGGTTGTAGGCCAGGTCCCAGCAGGGGACACACAAGAGGCAACCACACACTGATATTTCTCTCCCTCTCTCCTTCCCTTCCCCTCCAAAGGTAAATAAATAAAATCTAAAAAAAAAGAATAAGACAAAAAACAGCCAATAGTAGTTACATGGCGAGTCTCTAGATGAAAAGTAACCTCGGTCTGAGGGTCAAGACTGAGCCCTCCCATCACTGACGGCTTCTGTGCCTCGTCCTAAACGCTCAGGTGACCGTCGTCTCTGGTGCGTCCCCCACTCCACAGCACCAGGTCTTCAAATGCATCCCCTCAACCCAGCAGTGCCCACCGGTAATTCTCCAAATCCATGAGACAAGTGCCATGTCCTGCCCATCCCTTGAGGACAAGAACTTCGTGTGGCCACAGCACAGCACTGCCTCAGGACAGAGGCACGGCCCTGGGCACCGAGGAAAGAAGGGAAGCCACTCTCCCTGACTTTCACACCCTCCTTGCAGGCACCCACCCCACCAAAGACAGAGGACTCAGGTCCAGTCGGTCTGTGGGACTTAACGATCGACCAGATGGAACCTCCAACCATCAGCTGCCACCTGCCATCAGGTCACCATGCCCACGACCCCTCACCACCCCTTGCACAGGTGAGCAGCTACAAAGGCCAGCGTGTCTTTTCACAGCTTTAGGACAGAAAGCAGGACTCCGCAGCTTAAATGCTGAAGCCGCCACCAACGCAGAGGTGTGGGGAGAACGAGTGGCGCCCCACTGGAGAGGGCCCAAGGGCGCCACTGCCCTCAGAACCAAGGGGGTGCAGGGGCCAAGCGCCATGGCCACCCCCAGGTCACTAGCCAGCACCAAGGGCTGGTCACCCCGGCAAGTCACCTGCTAGCACCAATAAGTCCCCATCACTGAAAGCCCGCCACCATGCGCTGTGGACCCCAACCAGCAGCACGGGCATCACCCAGGGCACGTCAGAAACACAGCCCTCAGGCCCCAGCCAGGCCCACGGACTCAGAACCTGCGTGTCCCTGGGAAGGGCACTACTACTGAGGTCCGGGACAACCTGTCCTGTGAGTCTGTCTGTCTGCTCCGCTGTGTGGGGACTTCCCACCCCTGGGGCACACAGAACCCCAGCTCTTTTGAGACACATGTTTTAGAGGTGGCCCCAGTTTGGAAGGAGATCGAGACCACTCCTGAGTGGGGAGCACAGCGAGAGCCTCTCCACCCGCAGGGGATGCCCCGAGCGCCTGCGAGCCCCAGGCTGGCATGCTCACCTGGACCAGCTCGCTCAGCATGTCCACGTTTCTGAAGATGGTGAACCAGAACTCCGGAACGCCTCTGGGGCTGGGCTCCTCCGCGGCTGTGGCCTCTTTGTCTGCTATGACGACTTTATTTTTCACGTCCCCCTGAAGATCACAGGTGCAGAACAGAACACTCACCACAAAGCAATGCAGTGGCAGTCTCGTGGCTTAACTCGGGCGCCCACTTCTGAATCCCACACAGACTGCCGCCACAAACCCATGGCCTTGGACTCGGCATCTCCAGGACCACCGAGCAGGTCACGATTTCAAGTGTTTCTGGGGACAAAGCACTCAAAGCCCCCACACAGACGCAACCTCGTGATGTAACTTAAACTGGCGGGAAGACTGAGACGCGGTCCGAGGAACGGCTGTGCGCGCAGCAGGCTCTGCGAGGTGTCCATCCGGGGACCGTGGCCCAGCTCCACACGCAGCCCCGGGGGTCACCGCACCCAGATGCCCACCAGACAGAGGCACCGTGCGAACATGAGGGTGGGGACCAGAACGGCTCGGTGGCAATGTAGAGATGCCGGGGCCCCAGGGAAGGAGGTGAGGCCAGCACTGCACGAGGCCAGGGGAGAGAGGGCGTGCTCCGTCATGGGGGCCTGGCAAGGAAGCAAGCCCCGGGCTACATAAACCAGCAGAGGCAGCTTGTTCCTGAGCAGTGAGGGTCTGGCCCCAACCACAATGACCCGTAAGCCCGGCTCCAGCCAGCCCAGGCCCTACGTATCTTCCAGACCAAAAACACACACTTCAAGAAACCCCTGAAGTGTCGGTTCACAAACCAGAAGCTCGTCGTCTCCCCAGAACCAATCCAGGCTGACGGAGGGAACTTCCTGGGACACTCTGCGGCAGTGGAATGGGACTATTCGCCAGAAAAGGCCATGAGCAGGTGACAGGGCATGTCGCCAAAAGGAGCCCTGACTCACTGACTTCGAGTGGTGACAGGCACTCTGGCAGGATGTACCCCCCCCCACCCCCGCTGGCAGGTGACCACCACCCGGACACGTGACTAAGACCCCCCACAAATGTGTTACTAGTCCCCACTCACGCGACACGCCCCCACGCCCCCGCACTCTGTGGAGGGCCGAGCTGGGGGCAGGGTGGCCAGCTCGCTGCAGTGACTGACGTATGCAGTGAGGCGCTGGGCCGCCAGCTGGCTGCTCAGTGTGCGTCCACAAAGACCTCTGAACACCCGACTGGGGCGGGGGTGGGGTGGGGGGTGGGCGTAGCACCTACTGCCGTCTGCCCCTTTCTCTGTGAAGCTGCACCGGTCACCGAGAGAGGTTTCATACTCCTACCAGTGTTGAAACAACAGGCTTTGCACTAGGTAAAAACAACACCACGCCAACTTACGGCCAATTTGTCCTCCTCTTCATTCTCGCTGTGCCACTCCGATTCCGAGTCTGTCGGCTCGACGTCACCAGTGACGAACTCCCTTCTCTGAGTGAGAGCGAGAGCTTCTTAGAGTTAAGTCACTCAGAAAGGCAAGAGTCAAGGCCACAGGTCCGTAAACGTCTATGAAAGGACTATGAACACTGAAGGCTCCTATCATTTATTCTAAGACTCAAAGTCAAAAAGAGCTTAAGAAGTAACCCTCACTGATTTACTGCGTAAACCCGGATGCTTCACCTCAAGGAAGGCTGGGAGGTAGCCTCAGGGTCGCGAACAGCGCTGCCCACCTTGTCGAAGAGAGGCTGGTACAGCGCCGCGTACTTCCTCTCCAGGTCATGGACCTCTTCGTAGAACTTGGCCTCTATGTGAGCGCACTTCACCTGAAGTTGTTTCAGCGCATTGATTCTTCTTTTTACCGCTTTGGGTAAACTAAAGGGGGAGTTTAAAAAAAAAGCTACGTTTCGTTAAAATAAATTAAGGTTAACATAGAATGACATCCTTACTGTGAAAGAGCTAATTGTTAAGAAACGGACACGTGCTCCAATAGAGGGAAAAGGCGGGGGGGGGGGGGCCGAGGAGACAGTTAACAAAATAAAAATAAACATGGAAGAAAGTCTATCTCATAAAACACCCAGAAGAATGTGGTTAGAGGAACCCCCGTCTCTCCTTACTAAGTGAGCGATTACAAAAGGAGCCAGCCCAGCCCGGCGAGGCAGAGAGCAGGGCAGCCCGGGCCTCGCTCTCTGAGAAGCAGTGAGAGAGGAAGACAGCCCTTCGGCCCCGGCACGCACCCCCCTCCGCCTTGAGGACGCAGCCCCAGGGAGCAACCAGGCATCGGTGTGCAGAAACACCTGCAGGACCTGTCTCCCTGCATCCCACGCCCTGGGGGGCTCTGGCAGACACCCCGAGGGAGCCCCCAAAATGGGCCGCTCTCTTCTGCTGTCAGGCAACCGGGGCCTCTCCCTGCCTTCCCACTTTCTAGGCTCTAAATACACTGTCATTTGCGAGCATCACTCTTGTAAATTAGAAGAGAAAACACTTTCAGCCTTTGCTCACAATCTGCAAGGCAGAGCAGGTCCTTGGGCTCCACCGCAGACCAGACCAGACCCCCACCCCACTGGCAGCCCAGCCCCTCCCTGAGCCCCCCGCCACTCGGACTGAGTCCTCAGGGCGGAGTGTGCAGTGCACACACAGCCTCTATGCTGGGTCTGTCACACCCAAGGCCACCTCAGGGTGGATGCTGTTCAGAACCCAACAACCATGCCCCTGGGACTCAGGCTAGGGAGGAGAATACGGCGCAGCAGAGCAAGAACCCAACAGAACAGTCACAGGCTGGCACCTGCGCTGTTTCTCTGCACTAGTCACACGCCTTGAAATTTCCTAAAAATGTTTTCAAGTCCTCCTGGTGGGGTTCAAGTCACAAAGGGTTCTAAGCCAAACCAGATGTGGCTGTGCTCCAGCTGTCCTGAGTCAGCCGCAGTGACAGCGCCGGCCCCTCCGACAGATGCTTCAGGTGCAGGGCACCCACCCCACAAACCCCAGCCCCCCACCCAGCTTCCAAAGCAGAGAACTGGGAACCACGGCCACTGGCACTACTGCCGACTTCTCCAGAGTCGCCTCCAGAAGAGTCCTCCACCCAAGGCAAAGAGATCCCAGTGCCCCCCGCCCCACTGTAACAGCCTTGGAACACAGAGCCCCACGTGGGCAACCAGAGAGGGGAATGTTCAGAGACTGAGCCGCACCGACTGTGGGGGGAGGCCCAGCAGCAGCCCCTCCCTTACAGGAGGAGGACAGCAGGGCCGGGAAAGGGCCGCCCAGGAGCCTGCTCGAGTTTGTGCTGCAGCCTCGAGGGGAAACCACAGGGGAGGGGCCCTCGGCTGGCCCGAGGCCACCAGGAAGAGAAAGCGCTTTGCCCTCCCCAGTTCATCTTCCTCGCCACCTCTTCCTGGTGCCACCCCACTCAGGCTGGGCAAGGTTCTCTCACATGGCCACCAGATGGCGCCGTGCGCTCACCTGCCAAGGACCCCCACCAGCTGCCTTCTCCCCATCCGTGTGGGTCCCTCCCTCCACCAGACTCCAAATCCAAGTAAGCTCATCTGGAGCCCAGGGCCCTGCTCAGCAGGCAGCGCTGCTGAATGAAAAACACAGTTTCTATTCTAAGGAAGTTGTTTTTCCTTCTTTATTCCTTAAAGTCCCACCCCGTCTCACCCACAGCACACTTACGTCTCGATGTAGCTGGAAGGAGTGTGGGAGACACTGTCGAGGCGCTCCTGCAAGGCTGCCAGGACCTGAGGGTTCTGCATCACCTGGTCCGTGAGCGTCTCTGTTCAGAGTTTAAAAAAAAAAATGCAGGGCGCTACCAGATGTGCCCACCCCAGAGCAGCCAAGAGCTGGGGTCACCAACTCACAACGACTCGGCCGTGCTCACCTACTGTAATTTCTAAATACAGCAAAGTGGCTTGTAAAGACGTGTTTTGAAGAATATTTAAAATATATTTTACAGGCGTGGGATATTCCCTGTTAATCACCTGCGTGGGTGGTTAGAACCTACTGAAAGGTACCAAGACTTTTGGGTCTCACCTTGGCTGGTTAAGCCCCAAATCTCCAACCGAGGACACCATCACTTCCTATCATCTTGCCCCCCGTACCCCATCCCACGGTGGGGCCCAGCACTTAGCCAGCAAAGCCCCAGCTCTCACCGGTCCCCTGCTGGCCAGACTGCCGAGTGCCCTGTGGGCCACCTCCACCTCCTGCCCAAACCCACCTCCCACACAGGTGTGTCCTGACCAGCCCCTCGCAGAAGTCGCTTGTCTCCTCTGCCACGCTGCCTGTACAGCCCACACTCAAGACACCAGCAGAAAGCAGTGTATGTCCTTCCGCCCCACTCTCACCATGGAGCTGGCAGCACCTGGCCCACAGCACTGACTCAGTGTCTGCAGGCCTGCCCCCCCCCCGCCCCAGCCCCCCAGCCACAAAGGCAGCCCAGACCTGGCACTGGCAAGCACTCTTTTAAACCAGGAGAGACCAGCACTGCGAAGCACCGTGTTGAATGTACGCAAGCGGTACATACAAAACTGGGTCCTACACGTGGCCACACCCACCCCTCTAGCTCTGGCCACAGCAAGGCCTAAAAACAATGACACCTGGCACCTACGTTTCGGTTTTTAACTCTCTCCACTAATAAACACAGGGCCCCTTCAGTAACTAAGAGCACCCAGGTATAAAGCAAGGCAAGTTCGAGGGAAGACAGCGGAGCGTCCCTCGTGCCACAAAGCTACTGAGAAAGGCATGGAGAACTGACAGGGTGTGGCCAAAGGACGCAGAGGCCAGCCCGGAGGGCCCCGCAGTCACTCGGGACAATTCACACACCGAAACAAGTAAGGGTGGCCACTGATAAACAAGTAACCTGTGTCTCCACAGCAACACTGAGTGACAGGTCTGCAGCAGTGGCCACATGCGGCCGGGTTGTCAGATTTTGAACGGCCGCCTTTGCCGCACCAACCAGGGTCACCCCTGGCTCAGTGAGGATCGCCAGTGGGTGCTGAGCCACTGGGTTCGAGTCTGATGGAGGACGGGGAGTCCCAGATTACTTAGTAAGAGGGTCCTTAGCACAGCCCAGCATGGCAGACGTGGTCCCGAGGGAGTCGTCAAGCCCGGGGCCTTCCCACTGTACCAGGTCGCGGCAGGCGTGGTGGGCGTGTGGAGTGTGTACCCTGAGTCTGACACGGAGACCACCAGACCCACCCCTCTGTGGACACCGCACATGACAGCCGACCCCGAGGCCTGCTGCCTGAGGGGCAAGAAGGTGGGGGGTGGGGTGCCCCACACAGGAGTCAGATAGAGTCACACTCGACACACGCTTGCCACTAGTCCTGGGTTTGGGCGCAGTGCAGACCCACTGAGAAGGGGCAACACAGACGGGACTGCGCGTGTGACCCCACTCAGGTTACACTTCTTGGCAGTGGTCACGAGGGTTCACCCCAGTCTCAGAAGTTCACGCTGAACCGTTTCAGGGGCTCTCTGAGCCGGTACATGTATGACTCGCTTTCGAAGAAGTTCAGAGACAGAAAAGCACAGTCAGACTTGAAAATGGAGGGAGGAAGCACATCCGTGAGTCGGTGGGCGAAGGATGCTGCTGGGACGTGGGCAGGCAGTCAGGGGAAGAGAAGGCACCGACGCAAAGACTGGTCACTGGTCAGTCCACATGGGCACCAAATGACCACAGAGTCCGCATTTCCTAAGGTAAAAAAATTTCATCCCGGCCCTGGCTGCTGTGGCGCAGTGGATTGAGCACAGGCCTGTGAAGCAAAGGGCCGCTAGTTCGATTCCTAGTCAGGGCATACGCCTGGGTTTCGGGCCAGGTCCCCAATAGGGGGCCCATGAGAGGCAACCACACATTGATGTTTCTCTCCCTCTCTCCTTCCCCTCTAAAGATTAAAAAAAAAAAAAAATTCATCCCTGGCTGGCGTGGCTCGGTGGATTGAGCACCAGCCTGTGAACCACAGGGCCACCAGTTCGATTACCAGTCAGGACATACACCTGGGTTGCAGGCCAGGTCCCCAGCCCGGGGGGGGGGGGACGCGCGATGTGAGAGGCAACCAGACATTGATGTTTCTCCCCTGCTCTTTCTGCCTTCCTTCCCCTCTCTAAGCATAAATAAAACTAAAAAAATTAAAACAAACTACTGATTTTCGTTTTAATTAGTCTAAATTTCCTAAAGGCTTTAACTCTGGCACGGTAATAAATGGCTCCAGAGCAGGAGGCCCCCCGCCTGTGTGCAAACACTCCACCCACCCACCCCAGGGCGGGGACTGACCTGTGGCACTCGGGGCTCTCCCGGCCTCCAGGGAATCTGACGGGGCTCCATCTGAAAAGCTGAAACAGTGCCGAACACGTGTTACTGTAAAGAAAGCTCCGAGGACGAGTGCTCAGGGCAGTCTTACGTAACCGCCAGCAGGCGTCTCAGTACTGACTCCACACGGTTACAGGGGAGACTTTGTTCCGAAACGCCCGACCACTTACCAACCCCACCACCTCCCACCCCCCCATGCCACTCTTCGCAGTTTTAATTTCCAACCTGGAGCCCTGGCTGGTGTGGCTCAGTGGACTGAGCTCCGGCCTGGGAAGCAAAGGGTCATGGGTTCGATTCCCAGTCAGGGCACATGCCTGGGTGGAGGACCAGGTCCCCAGTTGGGGGCACACAAGAGACAACTGACTAATGTTTCCCTCTCACACTGATGTTTCTTCTCTCTTTTTCCCTTCCTCTCTAAAAGTAAAGAACTAAAATCTTAAAAAAAAAAAAAAAAACTTCTACCTGTAACCCTAGAAAAAAATATGCTCCCAGCTCTCAAACCAAACCCACCAACCAACCCACACGGTGCGGAGGGCTGCTGACCACAGCAGAGCCCACTTCCCGGGGTGGGGGTGGGGGCAGTGCCCGCAGCAGCCCCGTGAGCGGGCCACACAGCGCCACACGCGCCTCCGCCTCATACCCGGCCTCTGCTCTCAGAGAGGCCCGCCCGCCGCACACCACGTCAGCGCCGTAGGGCACAACCCAGCGGGGCCTTCGGCGCGAGCACAGCGCAGACCATGCCCTGGGCCACGGGGTACAGGATGTGAGGTGGTGTCGGGTCGGTCACAGGGCTTCACCCGGTGGTGCTCCAGACATCGGCCTCGGCGTCTGAGACGCGTGCCCGTGGGAGCGGTTCTCGAAGGGGCTCGAGTACACAGGGAAATGGGGAGAGAGGGCACCGCTGGCTGGAGCACCTGAGATGCTTGTACAATGAAGCTTACCTGTTGCTCAACAACTAAAACCGAAACTCCAATAAACAAAGTCCATTTGGCTTACCTGTTATCTGCCATCTGAATGTTTTTATCTCCTAGAAATTAAAGAAGAGTTGTAACAATTAACATCACTGAACAATCACAAACAAAAACAAATTGGAAACTGCATCCTTTTACCAGCACTCCGCACACGGACACGATCTACTTACTAGGAGGGGCGGGGCACCGTCTGGGAAGACGGGCCTGTCGGAGGCCGCAGAGCTGTGCACCTGGACACATACACTGGTCAGAACTCATCAAATTACACACTTGGGACCTGTACACTTGAGTGTGAGTACACTTTACTCATTAAAAAATTCTCTTGTTGGTACTAAAGTGACAAGACTTGGGAATAAAACCCACCCACTCTAATTAGCCTTATCTTTAAGTTTTAGTGACAGGAATGTGTATTTGTGCAAGACCCATTACTTTAGAGCAATTCAGAGCACTCAGTGGTGGGTGCACCGTTGGGGGCTTGCTCTGCACACTCATTCTGACACAGCGGGTGCAGCCATATGTGGGAACATGCAACACACTCTGCGTTACCCCTCTTTCACAAGACCGGTAACTTATCTCCTATCTCCGCTTGGGCGACTTACACCTACAAACATTAGAGCTGGGTTCTGGAATGAATACTTTTTAGAAAGCTCCTGACAATGAAATTTCAGAACCCACCTAAATGCATAGAGCCCTTAAATGAAAAACACAGTGAAGCCTTCCTAAAGGAGGTTCTTCACCTTGGACACAGCAAATGACCCTTGGAGTCTCTCGGAAGGTTCATTATAGGCTGACCACCGGTCAGTCTCATTGGTGGGTGCTTGAGCGTCGCCCAACCCCCTCAATCACAACGCTTTCAGGTAAAACAAACCCTTTGTATTCAATAAAAACAGCTTCAACTGGAAATGATCTGCAACCGTCTTGTATTTAACTCAGCCACATTTTCCCTAGGTAACTCTGTTTCAAAATACAACATGTGAATTGCTTTTAAAGTCCAAAACATTACACTATCTTTTTCAGGAAGCTAAATGAGTTAAGGGAGCAGATGAAAACCATCCGAACAAAAAAAACGCAACAAGTAAACAAATACTACATCGGCTGGGCTGACCATGCCCGGCACAGGGCCCAAGTTAGAGCAGGGCCCCAGTGGGCTTTCCAGGGTCCCCTGTGCCTCCCCCACTCCAGGCTCGCCCCCAGGAACCCCAGTCCCCACACCTTCTGGCCCTGCCTCCGCACGCTTACTCCCAGCTCACACTGCCCCGCAGGGACAAGCAGGGACGAGCAGGGACCTGCGGTCACGGGGTTCCCAAGCACACGGTCTGCTCCTCCACAGAAACGCAGAGTGCAAGGCAATTTGATGTGTGCAGAGCAGATATACTTCCCACTGATGGGCCGTTAAACACCGCGGGTTTCCCCTCTCATGATGGGGTGTCTATGTCACCCCAAGTCACTCTTATTTACGACAGCAGCAAGACTGCTGGGTCGGAGGTATGGATATTTACACACCAGCCCCAGCTATAACCCGGACACCTAATTAAAGCTCTCCACAGTCTAACCCAGGGGTCCCCGAGCCCTGGGCTGTAGACCAGCATCGGTCTGTGGCCTGTTACAAACCTGGCCACGTAGCAGGTCAGCAGCAGCGAAGAAGCTTCCCTCAAATTACTGCCTCCTGTATCCCTGCCCCCACCCCAGCCCAGTCCATGGAAAACTTGTCTTCCCAGAAACCAGTCCTGGTGCCACAAAGGCAGGGGTCCAGTGTCTCACACACCTGCCCACAGCACCCCCGCCCCCCCGCGTCAGCCCTGCCAACACTGACTGCTAAGAGAAGGCACTGCTCTCTTGGGGCAACGCCACTGCCAGCTCAACAGACAGACTCCGGAGTTCACCACTTGACCAACAACCATCAAGCCGTACACCTACTCCTACCACCTCCTGTGCCAGCAAGGGGCCTCTGTAGCAGCGCCTGACTACACTTTACACTCAGCGCTCACCCATGGAGGGAGTGCCCCCAGAGCACAGGGGAGGACTCGAAGGCTGGAAAAGAGGAGCCGCCGGAGCCAAGGCCACCTTGGCCAGTAAGACGCAAACGTGGGTCTCTGCCCACCTACAGTATTGGTGGTGAGCGGAGGTGAGCTCTGCTCCCAGAGACAGTGCACTCGAGAACAAGAGAGGGGCTGCAGTTTGGAACAGGCAACTGGGCTAGGACCACTGCTTTCTTTTCGTCAGGATTTTATATTTTATTTATTTATTTTCAGGCAGAGAAAGGGAGGGGGAAATAGAGGGAGCGAAACATCAATGTGTGGTGCCTCTCACACACACCCCCGCCCCCAGACCTGGCCTGCAACCCAGGCATGTGCCCAGACTGGGAATTGAACTGGCAACCTTTCAGTTCGCAGGCCAGTGCTCAATCCACTGAGCCACCCCTGCCAGGGCTTGGACCACTGCTTTTATGGGCAGAGTGCGAAAAGGGAACACCTAAGCAAGGACCACGAGGCAGTCCGCTGGCTCACAAGTGGGGAGAGGTTCTGGGCGGTGCTCACTGGTCAGAGAACGTCTCCCTCTTCTGTACACCAGGCACTCACAAGACACCAGTCTCCGGTCTAAGCTTCATCTCTCCGAGTGTGCATGTGTGAGACCCTCCATTTCACACCCTCGCTCCGCCTTAGACTAAAATCCACACACTTCACACCCAGACCCTCCAACCTTCCCGTCACCACCACCCACTTTACCCCCTGCAGCCACTTCCCCCTGCTCCACTCAGGACCGGGGACAACAGCTGACATCTCTGATCTCTGTCGGGGCCGGGCCAGAACCCTCAGGCCAGTGGCGTCCCAAGACACCCCCTGCCAAGATGCAGCGTGAACGCTCCTCCCAGCCCAGATCACAGTTGGTCCAGGGCCCGAAGCCACGTCTGGCACAGCCAGAATCTGCCAAACGACTCAGCACCTACGGCCAGTCCCAGGCCAGAGAGGCTTGCTCCCCTTCCCTTGTGCTGACACCGCTCCAGTCCAACGGGTCCCCACTGCCACAGTCCGCTAAGCAGTGCCCATCTGTGTGAAGGCACGTGCTACTTTCTCAACCCCACTGTTGGTGACATTATGGCAAAAGTTAAATTAAGCCAGACACAACATTCTCAAAAAAATAAAAAAGCTAAATCAAGGACAGAGAGAAAACAAGAGAACGAGTTTCAGGAACGGGAGAACAGCAGCAAGCCCAGCACACACCGTCTGGAGCAGAGCAGACCCACAATAAACCACCTGCTTGTGACCCGGGTTTCAGTCCCGTCTCCACCGTCTCTTGGGCGTGTGGTCTCGGGTCAATGCCCATGATCTAAAGGCAGAACTACACACGTAAAGTGCTGTGCCCAGTGCGCGGCCCACCTGGGTCTCTTTCTATGCTCGTAACTGCCTCGAGCTCATGGAGCGTCACATCTCTCGCTTCACACGAAACCGGCTCCAACCCTGCTCCCTCTACCTGAGGAGAACAACACGGGGTGACATCACAAACGAGACAGGTTCTCTCAGTCAGGTCTCAGCAACACAGGGTGGGGTGGGAGGCGGAAAAGGCAACCAAGTTAAATATGAAATGGACACTAGGCAACAGAATGTTCTAAAATTCCCAAAGGAGGCAGAAGCAGGCTCCCGCACGAGCCTGCAGTGCTAAGTGTTCACTGGCAGGCACACGTACATGACTGCAGACGCAGGTTTGGTTTCTTTTATACAAGATTACTCACAATCCTACTGACAGTTAACTCGCTTTTACCCAAACAATAAACCTCTTTTCATGGGGAAATTTTTAAATTTTTTGCAGCAAATTATCCAACATAACGTTAAATTCTTAATTTTAAACTGAAAACATCTAGTCTATAGGTTAGAGTAATTGTATTACTTTAAATCGGGCCACTTTTTTTTTAGAAGGGTTTTTTTTTTTAAGATTTTTAAAATTGCCCTGGCTGGTGTGGCTCAGTGGATTGAGCATGAGCCTGCGAACCTTGCGGTAGCGGCTCGATTCCCAGTCAGGGCACATGCCTGGGTTGCAGGCCAGTTCCCAGTGGGGGACACATGAGAGGCAACCATGCATTGATGTTTCTCTCCCTCTCTTTCTCCTTCCCTTCTCCTCTCTCTGAAAATAAATAAATAAAATATTTTAAAAAAAGATTTTTAAAATTTATCATTAGAGGGGAAGGCAAGGAGAGAAACAACAATGCAATGTATGGTTGCCTCTCGTGTGTCCCCCACTGGGAACTGGCCTGCAACCCAGGCATGTGCCCTGACTGGGAATTGAACCATGATCTTCTGGTTCACAGGCCCACGCTCAATCCACTGAGCCACACCAGCTAGGGCCTCACTTTTGAGAGTAGCTGTGAGCTGGGAATATAACCCAAATGTTTTCGCCTTTATCAGTCTGAAGTTGAAGGTCCTCAAGGCCATGAGATAAGCGAATGAGGACCCTAAATGGAATCCATGTTTCCAGGAGAATGTAGAATCCCGTTAGAGCCTGTAATTCCTAACAATCAGGGCGGGGCCACATAAACCCTGCAGCACAATCTCTGGGTTCAGTGTGAAGGACAGCGCTCTTACCCTGGCAACCTGAGCACACTCGTCGGCCCCCGGGGCCAGGTTCAAACCTCCAGCAGCACTGCCCAGGTCAGCTGAGGACCACATCAGAAGGGACAGAGGAGCCACCTGTTCTAAGAAGGAGCCAGGATCCCCCCGCAGGACGCCCCACGCCTCCACTCAGAACACCTGGCCAATCCACACAGCCCTGGACAGCCCTCTCCTCCCCTGCCCTGCTCTCATCGGCAGAGTCTTTACCTGCCCCACCGCCACATTCCTTAGCATCAGAAGACAATCGGGTGGAAATCAATATGCCAGAAGGTAAGTGGAAACAAGTGTGGAAACCAGATTGCTCAGACAAGTTTCCAAAGCAGTGGCGAGAATTCTTGCTGAACAACAAACCCTCCCCTTGCACCTGTGATCTCTTACCAACTAAACAAAGAGGGGCCCAGGCTCTAGACTCACACAAGACAGACCTGAGATGATGCTCACGCTGACTTCAATCATATGTAACGACTGAGAATCCAAATCATACCTGCCTCCTTCTTTAGGCATTTATCAAAAATTTTAATTTAGCCCTGGCTGGTGTGGCTCAGTGGACTAAGCACCAGCTCGTGAACCAAAAGGTCACCATTTGACTCCCAGTCAGGGCACGCACCTGGGTGGTGGGCCAGGTCCCCAGTAGGGGGTGAGTGAGAGGCAACCACACACATTGATGTTTCTCTCCCTCCCTTCTGTCTCTAAAAATAAATAAATAAACTTTAAAAAAATTATAATTAAGAAAAATTACATGTGTTTACAGACATTAACTAAGACTGGCAACTAGTTAGCTGACACAGTCACATGCTGGGTATGAGAGCACTGGTTTGCTTGTATGGAACTACTGCTCACCACGGGCTAAGAACAGAACGGACGGTCGGCTATGCCTGCCTCACCCTGAAGTGCAAGAAGCCCCACCGGGGCAGGAGCCTGTGCGCTTGCTCAGCGCAGCGATCCCTGTGCCCAGCATGGGCCTCAGCAGGAGACAGTGGCCAGGCATTTGCTCACTCATCTGTTCATCCGCTCACTGACGCCGAGTGACAGCCCATGTGCTGCCCACGTGCTACCTGTGTGCGGCCAGGCTCCTCCCAAGCAGTTTTAAGACACAGAGGAAGCCATCCCTGCTTACAAGACCGAGAAAGAATGGGCAGTCTTTTCAGAAACCTGCTGGAGGCCAAGCCCTGTTTTTAGGAAGAAATCAAGGACTTATTCCCTTTCCTTGACCAAAACACTATTTTTACTGAAGGCACGGCAGTTCTTCACTGGCTACAGCTCCAACTTCCTCCTCTGCTCCCTGCAACTCGCTAGCACACGACTGACAAGGCAAACATCTCACCTTTTTCTTAACACAGACAAGAGTTCAAGACCTCGCTGCCCCGTCTGCACGGCTTCCCCTCTCCACCGTTTAAACCTGCAACCCCAAGCC